TGTGTGTGTGTGTGTGTGTGTGTGTGTGTGTGGCCAGCTCAGCCCACCAGGGGGCGGGGCTGGCTGGCATGTGGTGCTAGGGGATTGAACAGTGGTCCCTGTGCTTTGCTAAGGCTTGTTCCAAGTAGGTGCTCTAGACCACTGAGCCATCTCCCCAGCCCTTTGCAGGCCATTTGGACAGCAGCGAGAGCTGCGAGCACATAAACCACTGACCGAAACATGTCTGCAGGCGCTTGCATCTCAGCAGGGCTCAGACCCACAGGACGCAAGATTCTGGGTGAAAGTTAAGCCCGACGCGGTCATGCGTGCCTGTAATTCTAGTGATTGGGAGGCTGAAAACAGGAGGATCACTATGAGTCTGATCTGTGTAGTGAGACCCTGTAAACCCTGTCCTAAATACATTAAAAAAAAAAAAAAAGTTAAGCCCCAAATCCAGGTCAGAACCCATGCTGTTCACCAGGGAGTCCAAGCGCAACACCAGAATTCACTGTCATTTTCCCTGACAGTGCTGGGCCCCAAAGCCCCAACCTGGCCCCAGCTGGTGGTCTGAACACTGTGCTTTGGCCCTAGTTTCTGCCAGTGGACAGCAAGGCCTTTGCTACCTGCCCTGCAGGGTAGGCACTGTGCGCTTTGCCGGTAGAAGCCACTGAACCAATATCAGAGCCTGATGTCAGGGCCAGTCCTGCACGGAGCCTAAAGCCAAAGGGAGCTCAGGCCAACGTCTGTCTTGCATCGAAGATAAAGATAGGACAGGTGTGGGGCATAAGCTGCAGCCCCAGCTCTCTGGAAGGCTGAGGCAGGAGGATCACAAATTCACAACTTGGTGAAGCCTTGTCTCAAAGTAAAAAATGTTGGGTGTAGCTCAGGGCAAAGGCCCTGAGTTCAATCCTCACAACTGGGGAGTGTGTGTGTGGGGGAGAACCACGAAGCCCATGACCCAGCAAACGCTGCTAATTTTGTTTGTTTATTGAGATATGGTCTCCCTATATAGCTCAGGCTGACTTCAAATTCAGTTACCCTCTGGCCTCAGCCTCACGAAGACTGAGGCCACAGTTGGGCACCACCACGTCCTACACTCATTGATTTTCTCACCAGAAATTAATAAGAACAGCAATCTCTGGGAAGGACTGAAGGAGGAAGTGACTTCCTTTGTAACCTTCAACCTCTGTGAACTGCTGGAACTTTTTTTTTTTTTTAAATCATGAACACATTTCTTCCATTGAAAAAATTGTCACCAGGGATTTTCTGTATGGGGAGATCATGAGCCATTTGACTTTTTTTTTTTTTTCTTTTTTTGGAACGGGGGAACTCAGGTCCTTGAGCTTGCCAGGCAAATGCTTATTCCACTGAGCTATCTCCCCAGCCCCATCTTTGTCTTTCTGACCCAAGGTCTCCTTATGCAGTTCAGGCTGGCCTTGAGCTCACTTTGTAATCCAAGCTGATCTCGAACTTGCAATGATTCTCCTGCCTCAGTTTCCCAAGTGCTGGGATGACAGGCGTGAGCCACCACACCTGTCTCCCTTCGCCTCTTGCAGAGCCTGGCGGCGACGCCCGTGACCCCAGAACTCTGGACCCTGAGGCAGGAGGATGGTGGGTTTGAGCCCACCTGGGCACTTCAGCAGAGACGGGCAGCGGCTGTTGCTTCGCGCTAAGGCCTCAGATTCAGTTCCCAGGGGCAGTAGCGCGTGCGCGCGTTTGTGTCCTCGTGTGCGTGTGCACACAAGTGTCCTAGAGTAGACGACGTGTTAAGGATCCTGCGGGTGACCCGCCTGGGCCGCGGCCAGGGCGGGGTAAGAGGGCGAGGCCCGTCACGGGTGTCCAGGGTCCTGTGCCCGGCTCCCAAACACCTTGGCGATTCCCCTGCGCCGCGGTAGCTCCTGGGCGCGCGCCGCCGGCACCCGGGCCCACGTTCACAGCGGGGGCGTCGCCGCGCGGGGAGCTAGACGCGGGTCCGCGAGGGTAGCGCTGGAGAGCCCGCACCCACGTGGTGCCAGGCCGGAGGCGGCGCGGGCAGCCGGGAGCGGGCATTTAAAGCGCCCTGACGTCACGCGCTGCCAGTAACTCAGCTGAGTTTTCAGCAGGCCGTTCCCGCTACCGCCTCGCCCTCCCGCCGCGCGCCTGTGCCCCGGGCCGCCCTCCTCCAGGGCCGCAGCGGAAGGAGGCGCACCAAACCCTCGGAACAGCCAGAATAGGGGCGTCCCCGGATTTCTTTGGACTCCGCCCCCTCCACCGGCGGCTTCTCGTATTGGTCGGTAGGTGGGGCTTCGGCCGTCTAGAGATGTCTGAGTGGTCAAGCGGGCTGCCCGTCTCATGAATTATGCATGAGGGCGTGTTTGGGCCGGACAGAGGCTGGGCGGGGATTGGCTGGAGGGGCTGTAATTCAGCGGTTTCCGGAGCTGCGGCGGTGCGGCCCGGGAGGGGGAGTCTGGGGTTCCGACGTAGCAGCTGCTGTAGGAGAGCTCCCGGGCCGGATCCCGACGACACCCCGTTCGGTGCTGCGTCCCCACTTGGCCCCTGCAGGCCCGGGTCCAAGGAGTCCCCACCCGCCCGCCCCGGCGCCGCACAGCCAGGCCCGTTGGGCCTCGGCCGGGAAGCAGGTGAGGCTGGGTGGGGCCGCGGGGCGCGTGCGGACCGGACCGGGCCGGCTCACAGTCGGGTCGCGGCGGTCGGAGGGCACGTGGGCCACACCGAGTGCAGCGGTGCGGGGGCGCCCCGGGCTCGCG